ACCACACACGACACACACACACACACACACACACACACACACACAAGTACGTTGACAGGGAGTCCAACACCGTACACCCAAATGTATAACCCGTCACACACACACGTGTTGAAATGTAATTGTATCAATGTATATATATATATATATATCATCAATAATATGTAAACATTTGAAATGTATGTTAATGTTGTTAATTATTTTGTATTGTGATGCTTTGGCAACATTGTTTAATTTAACTTTCATGCCAATAAAAGCCCCTTTCGTAATTGAATTGTGTGTGTGTGTGTGTGTGTGTGTGTGTGTGTGTGTGTGTGTGTGTGTGTGTGTGTGTGTGTGTGTGTGTGTGTGTGTGTGTGTGTGTGTGTGTGTGTGTGTGTGTGTGTGTGTGTGTGTGTGTGTGTGTGTGTGTGTGTGTGTGTGTGTGTCATCTGAGTTCTGACTTTTGTCTTTTTCCTCTCCTCCTGCAGCATTGTGTAATCCATGATTTTGTGCTTCCTCCTCAGGCTTCATGTCAAAGTCAGTTTCAGATGAGATGAAAATGCCAGAGCAAAAAGAAAAAAAAAAATACCTGCTGGTAATTCAAAAGAAAGAAAGAAAACTAAACAGAAGTAAGAATAGCACTCTGTGACACAGAATACTACCTGAGGAGCGTTGTGTGTAATTATAGCAGGTTCAGGGAGACACTGTTTATCAGGATGGGGCCGGGTTAGGAGTACAACAATTGAGGAAGTAAAATAATTAAGTTGAGAAGTTGAGGTTGCTGCCGTCGGATAAATCTTGCAGAAAATGGAACAGACTTTCTTGTAGGAGAGAAATCATAGCTTATAAAACAAAAGGTCCTTCGGGTGTCATCTAAGTTTATAAAAAGTCATTTTGAGACTTGTATTCGGCTCCCTAACTTTTCGGAAGGAATTTTGAATGTGTTGCCATCATGCAGTGAAAAAGTAAATGGCTCTCTTAAAAATACTCCTGCTAGTTGAGAGCACAGCCAATTCAGACGCTTCCTCACAGGTAAAACAACAACGCTGACTTTATAGGAAGCAATAGAAAAAGAGCATACCCCAGGGTCAAAACATAACCGACAAACCTCAAACAAGAGAGGATGCAGAGGAAGTCAGCAGAAATACATTGAGAAAAACTCATCCTAACATATTTTCCTTTCTTCTTTTTCTCTATCTTTGTTGATTTCTGTCTTGCAGGAGCGCTACAGATCGAGAACAGCGAGGAAACGGACCAAGGGAAGTACGAGTGTGTGGCCACCAACTCTCAGGGTGTGCGCTACTCGTCCCCGGCCAACCTTTATGTGCGAGGTAGGACCTGAACCCAGAAACGCACAAGCACACACACACACACACACACACACACACACACACACACACACACACACACACACACACACAGACAGACACACACGCACATACAGAAATATTAAGGTGCACTTTGGATAATAATAATAAAGCCTTTTTCATGTCTATGGTTTTAAACGAGTATTACTAACCCATCCATTGTCTACAATATATGTTGACCTTGTTGTTTGCTACTTCTCACAATCACCCTTAACAAGCCCTCCTTAAACCTCGGTGCGAGCCCCCCCAGTGGGATAAAATTGAACATGGGGACACACCTTGGTTTAACTGCATGGAAACATCACTGACCTGTCTACTAAAATGGCTTCTGTACAAGAGGCAGATTAAGAGGAACATAATGCACAAGAGATGCACAGACTTGATTGGAGATTAGGATGAAATTGGAAAATATAAATTATTCTTAAATATGTTATCAATATTGGCGCCATTTTGCACCCACATGTTCCCTGTTTAACGGATAGTAGCCTCTGGACTGTGGGTGCTGGTGCATCACTGGCTTATTGCTGAAAGAACACGACCAATGAAGTTCTAGTTTCTATGTTAAGCTATTTAAGAAGTGTGTATGCAACGTGTGAGCGTTGGTGAGTGTGTGTGATGCAGTGGAGCGAGTGGCTTTGCGCTGGCCGTTTTTATTCTCTCTGTGTTTCCCCGTTCTCTCTCTCCCCCCTCACGTCATTGTGTACTGCATCAACCCCCTCTCATCCCTCAGAGCTTCGAGAAGGTTGGTGTGCTCTTTCTTTTCTTTTGTTACTCCTTTGTTTCAGAAAGCTTCACTTATTGAAACAGAGAGAAACAAAAAAGAAAAAAAAACAACATTTTAAGGACACCGGAGTAGATTTGAAGTGAAATGATATTGTCTCCAAATATGAAGCGAGTTGATTTCTCTAAAGCTGCTACGGTGATGACGTGGTCTGCCTACGCAGCAGAGTGCATTGACTGCATTGACTGCATTGTGAGGCCTTGTGTGCAGAACCCTTGGTATTGCCTTCACTCCCCGATCAATGTTTTCTGCATGGTATGATCTTGTTGTCATGGAGACCAAAGAATTGGAAGATTAAAAGGAGCCGATGTTTGCATGGAAGGAGTGAGTGAGAGAGAAAGAGAAATGAGCACCGCTTGCATGTCTGTTGACTGACAGACTGACACAGGAGCATGGCACCGTGTGTGTTCACGCCTATTGATACGCTCGCATCGTGATATTATTGAACTTGCTGTCTTGTCTTGTCTGGCTGCTGACTGTTTATTTTTATTTATTTTGTCTAGCATCATGTGTTACATTGTGTCTCAGCTCCCATTCCATCACATCTGCTACAGTCCTGCACTTGTTGCATTGAGTGGAAATGTTGCACTCGCACTCACGCTTTGTATACAATTTGTGTTATATGTGCTGCGCAGGTTTTAAAAGAAGCACCTTAGCCAGATTCATGCCATGAACCCCATATGATGAGAGAACCGTCACATCACCTGTAGTGGAGAGTAACTAATTATATTCACTCAAGCAATGAACTGACTATATACTATTGTTGCTAGTTCTTATAAAAACACTTTATAGCTCAAACTACGCAAAAGTATATGAAGTTCTTTAAAAAAGCTTGAGTTTACCACTTACAACAATCAAATGAAATGTAAAAATTCATTGATCAATATTAATTTTGCAATTATAAAATATTTAATAGTACAATTCTCTTATTTGGCAAATTGTGACCCCTTTCTTACTTGTAGTTACATTGCAGAAAGTAAGTAAAAAGAGAAGTATAATATGTATTTATACAAATTACTGTAGTATACCCCATTCCAAATAATGATTAAGATGTTTAGGTAACAGAGACAAATATATACAAATTAAATTAAAAAATGAAATAAGGATGAGTTAAGGGGAGTGTAGTCTTTTTTATTATAGTTTGTGTTCCTTTTCCATCTCACATCAAACTGTTTAGTTTCATTGCTTTTACTTTACACCAATACTACAAATCACTTTTTAAACTTTTATAAATTACTTTTATACAAGATTTATTGTCAGCCCAGGAATTGTAGTTGTCACAGAGTATTTTTCATGCTGTATTTCCTCACCTTTAACTATCAATATATTACAGGTATAACAATATCCCAGCTGTAACACAGCCTGTGCCGTATCTCTGGCCGTTGCTATCTTCACCAAACACTCACGATACGGCTCTATTGACTGACATTTGAAATTAATCATACCCATTCTCATTTTTAGATATCGAGGGGATATTAATGATTCCCTCTTATTACAGTGGATAATGAAAGTGGTGTCCTTGAGACAGACTGGATGGTGTTGCGTAAATGTCAGCTCAGTGACGGTGCTGAACGGGTATAAGCAGAGCTGAGATGCAGCGGTAATCCTTATGGCTGTGCCAAGGTCTCTCTGCCTGTAGCCTCCAGACTCCCTGCAGAGGACGGGACTAATGATAGCCGCGCTAATAAAGATTGAAGCTCCTGGCTCTCACACACTGTATAGAAAATGGAGGGGAATCATGGGGCCCGGCTCGATGAACTTAAATCTAAAGGCTCTGAGAGCATGAGGAGGATTATCCCTTATTATGAGCTCCCTTTATTGTAAGGTACTCGGCTTTGTCTCCGTCGTGGATTCGTCAGTCTCTTATTTTCTAAATGACTAACCAATCATCATGAGTCTTCACCTTCACCCTGTTGTTGCTCAAATGACTAAACAATTCCACATGCTTAATTATTGTGTTTTTTAAGTTGTTTTTTTTGTTTCTTATTGATGGGTTAGAATAACTGAATGGATCAAAGTGATTGTGATGTGTCATGCTGCCTTGCACCTGCTACTTGTGTGTGTGTGTGTGTGTGTGTGTGTGTGTGTGTGTGTGTGTGTGTGTGTGTGTGCACACACACACTGAGCGCCAAAATAGTAAAGTCCATCTACCATTTAAGTCTATTGGAAGACATGCAACATTCAGTGAATACGATCATCAAGTTCCTCATTTTTTACATGTTTTACTCTTTATCACTACAATTTAACATTAAAATATGGTCATGCCTTTGTGCTTGTGTTTGCTGTTCTCCTGCTGCACAATGATTTGGCATTGGGGGGCTCCTACAGTGATTGATTAAAGGAAACATTCTAGTCTTTTCAAACTGAATGACCTTTACCCTCTCGTAATATGCACTGTCAACATTTCAAAATTCGCAAAGGCACACAGGAGGTTAAAACGTTTAAGCCTTAATAAGATTCACCATTGGGAGCTTTTTGTCCAGTGTGCAGGTTCATGTCTTTTGCAGGGATTGTGTCTTGCCAGAGATTTCCCTTCTGTAACTCCCTCGCTACTTTCCCCACCTTCTAAAGAAAGAAAAGGTAATTGGACTGTCTGCTCTAAGTTAAGAGCAATCCCTCTTGAGACCTATTTCCTTTTCTCGCCTATAACTGTATATGGGTTCGTAAAAATGCAAGACTTTTGAGGGTGGGGATTATAGATATTAAAGAGTAATACCATGAGAGGTGATGGAGGTGGAGAGTAAGGGTGTGGCAGCAGGATTACATCTCAATACCAATAAACAAATCCCACTGGACGGTTAGGGGAGGTACAGTGATTATATTTGACGCTTTACTATATGAAGGCTTGTATTGGAGCTGGTGTTGTCAACTTTAGAGTGAGATTCGTTTATCAGGGTCAACTGCGCAACAGATGTGGGGAAATCACCTTGTGACAATGACCTCTGCTAAACACTGAACCAACAAATCCACAAGACCATCTGGACCTAAGTAGAAAACAGAGGTGATGACCTTAGCTGTGAGAAATTATGGCTTTGGTAGGAAAGATGGTATTATGGATCATTATGGGTGGAACATCATTTAATACAGTACGGTCACTCATAACCTTACAATACAGTGCAAATCCAGAAACTCCATCTAGAGGCCTTTCTCAATTCAATGGAATACTCTTTATTGGCATGAAGGACAATATTGCCAAAAGTGTCTAGCAATACTGAGAAGACAGAGAAAAATAATTAAGAAAATATCAGAAAAACAATAAACCTTTGCCCTGTCAGAATGTTTGTGAGAGACTGTTTAACTGTATTCATATTAAGGTAGGACATATTAAAAAGTAACGATAATAATAATAAAAATAGTAACAATAATAATGAAAAAATAATCTTTATTTAAGATTTATATAAGCAAAATGTAATCAATAAATTACAAATCACATACTATAGTCAATTCAAATAATAAAAAGATAAGTAGGCATACCATCTAGGTTAACTAATATAATTCGAAAGATAATAGTAATATAGAAGTCAATATCATTTTGGGTTTCTTTCCTTGAATTAGATGATTTTTTTTGCAATAATCCTGCATTTTCCCTGCTCATTATGTTATGTTTTTAAATTCAGGGTGTATTTGATTATTTTTGGAAATGTGTATTTCTTACACTCTGGTTTCGGGGGTTAGGGTTAGATTATCTCCTTGCTTCCAGCAATGTCTACATCAACCTTTCTTTATTGTAAGGCTATGCTTGCGGAGTCTGTCAATAAATCATTGCTTTTCTTAATATTTACCGTGGTCGGCTATTTTGATAATGTAACGTCTCTTTTGAGGGTCGGATACCATTAGAGTTGACACTGTGTTTTAGTTGTTTGACTGTTTTTTCTATGTTTTAGGTGAAAGGCTATCGTGTGTACTACACCATGGACCCGTCCCGGCCTATGAATGAGTGGCAGATCCATAACGTCCAGGACAGCGTGATCACCACCATCCAGAACCTGGTGACCTCGGAGACGTACACCATCCAGGTCCTCGCCTTCACCTCTGTAGGAGACGGACCCTTCTCAGACCCCGTCCATGTTAAAGTTATGCCTGGAGGTGCGTTAATGTGTGTCTGTAAAACCTAATCATCGGTAGCTGTTTGTGCATGCTGGTGCATGAGTAATGGCTAACTAGTGGTCTTTAATATTCATGTGCAGGAGGTTAGTGTTTGTTTTTCAGATGTGCACATGCAACAGAGCACAAATGACTCATTATTTGTGTGTGTGTTAACAAAGATAAGTAGCTTATTTGGGTGTATGTAAAGTTTGTGAGTCAATCCTCTGTGATTTGCTTAGCAAATAACCTGTCAGGAAATATGGCTACTTCAAACAGAACACATTGTACCTGCTGGGACAGAAGTGTGGAGAATCATGAAAAGAAAACGGGGATTAATAGCCGAAAATGTCCCTCTTACCTCAGTGTTGTCCGTTTCACTCCGACAGCTGCTGTGAAGTGGCAGGTTTAATGTGTTGGGAGGGACAACAGATCATTAATGTGATGGAATTACTGTTTTAATTTCCATGTAGCCTGCTACGGCATCAGATGTCTCTTAAAAGTCTTCAATTTTCAAGCATACAAAAGGAAAGAGAATATATTTAAAAGGCAGGAAAATACATAGGTTTTAGAGATTTAAGGATCAATGGGTGTCCAGTATTACATTAACAACTAGTACAACATGTTTTATTCAACTTAAAATACCTGAGGTCAGGTTAAAGTAAGGCGAAAGTAAGAAAAACAACCATGCTTAGTAATACATTATATATATATATATGTCAACACTATAAAACGAAACTGCACCCCCACACAGTCTCCAACAGGTTTGATCAGCTTTGACTGACGGTGACATTTCCCTTGAAACATATTTCCCATTCTTTTACTAATAGTATTGATGTCAACACCTTATTTCAGAAGAATAGCACTTATCCAAACACAGTAAGTGCTTTTCAAAACAAAGCAAGACATAAAGAAACTATAAAAAAACACACAAATGAGGCAGATATTTAGTCAGGTAAAAATGTACTACGAGGATAGAAATTCTATTGACGTGTATATAGACTTTTTGCACCACTTTTTATTTTGTATTTTATTATATTGCATTGTTGGAGGTCAGAAGAATTTCATTGCCATTTCTACACTGTAGCTTTGTGCATATGACAATAAAACCTTTGAATCTTGAAAAAGAAAAACACCAGGTAAAACAGAACACAATAAAAAGTGTTTTTAAATAAGAAAACCTTCCAGTAAAATCGTTTTTTTAAGAAATAACTTTAAAGATGTATTTTTGGAGTATTATGTGAAATAAACAGTATCACTAAAACGTTGGCAGATCATAATATTATAGTATATGGTGGTAAAAAGATTATAAATACACTTTTTTTTTAAAGGGCCTTTCAGTGCAAAACCAAAGTGCACCACAAGACTTCAAAAGAATCCGATAAAGATAACCCAAACTCCTGTCTGACTCTTGTCCTGTCTCCTTCAGTCCCAGGCCAACCGGGGAAGTTTAAAGTCAATAAGGTGGCCGACACACACATTGAGCTGACCTGGGAACCTGCCTACACAAAGGAGGGCATCGTCAACTATGAACTGCTCTACAGACCTGTCAAGTTTGGCAGCTTGGTAAGACCCCTAACTCTATTTTTATAAACCTTTCTGCAGAGCGGATTGAGAGGACAGATAAAAGAAGGAAGTTTAAAAGATTAACCCCAGCGTTCAGCGCCTCTGAGTCTGCTGGTGACAGTCTCATCTCTTTTGATAATTTAATTCTCACTCATCCCAACCTCTTGTCCTGTCCTCTGCTCCTCTTTCTTCCCTCTCATAGGAGAAGCTGACATTCGGGCCGAGGAGTTCGTACACAGTGGAGGGTCTGAAAGCCAACACAGAGTACTCCTTCTCCCTGGCCGCCATCTCAAACAAAGGCATCGGAGCTTTCACCAACGAGCTGGTGCAGAGGACATTACAAGCCAGTACGTCTCAATTTGACTGTGTCCACCTGCTTTACCTGCAGGGATGCACAGATGCCACACATGTAAATTGTATTATGTTTCAGTCATGTGAACAAATCCAATGCGAATATTTTGTCCTCCACACCAACACACACAGGTTACAATACATCAGATCCTGACCTGGTCAATTCTGGGACCCCATCTTCAAATCTCTCCATCTACCTCGTTTATCAACCCCACCTCTCATTCATCCATCTAAGTTTGACTGTGCCTTTCTTCCTCCCCTCAGCCTCTCGCTTTCTTACACAGCCAAAACATCATGACAGATGGAGATGGAGCAACGATTAATTGTTACACTCTTCCTTCTTTCACCTTCCTTTCACTTTTTCCACTCTATCAGTGTCTAATGTCTTTGAAAGGACGAAACTGTCTGCCACTTATTGGCTAGCAGCCAGAAGTGAGCCGCATTAAGGATGGTGGCTGCCTTGCTGGTGTTGTCAGGTAAGTGTCAGCCAGTCTGTATTTTATCTGAACATGGATTATTTTTTCTCTATTTTTCTCTGCACACTGATACCTGATAAGGGTCAAATAAGTTATACTTCTTTGCCCTGACATATAGAGGCATTTCATATCTTCCAACAAGAAGAAAATGCAGAGAAAAATTGAGATACAAGAGAAAGAATACATTGAGTCGAGAAAAAAGGAAGCCCTTCAGTTCACGGTGGCTCTCGCCTCAGCGGTAAGTTTTTGTCAAGTATTAACAATCACTTACAGGCACACAGATTCATACTGGGTGTTCACAATCAGTACAATTAGAGCTAAACACTTATAGCGGGTCTCTTTTCACCCCCAAAAAGAAAGAGACCTATAGTTGGTGGGGGGGGGATTCAGGAAAGGGAAGGTGTCAGATAAGCAGACTATTTCATGCAGCAGAATTCATTTCCCTGGGAGGTTATGTGCGCTTTGTTATCGCCAAGCTTTGGTGCACATCTAGATTGTCCCCCGAGGCTAACAGAACAGTGGCTGTACGGCTGAGTGGATAGATACTTGAACCTGTCAGCTATGACTATTACACTCCCACACATACACACATGCTATACACTCCCAGACACACACAAGACTGTGCTCAGTGCTGTGTGGTTCTGTGTGCTCGCTCTATGAGTAACATTATATAGGGTGAGTGATACCCACAGTTCAGATCTATGATGATAAAGGTGTGTGATTCTTGGCTTCCTTTCTGTACCTGTTTGTAACAGTAAATATCCTAGCCTACTTCTGATTCAATTCTTGTCCGCAATTTATCATTCTTACCTGACTTTCAATATCCGTTTGAGTGCCTTTCTCTCCCAGGCTCCTGGTCTTTTTCGTTTTTCTTTTCTAAACCTGCCTCCTAAATCCTTTCAGCGCTGTGTGAGATCTGTTTTAGTTTTGTGTTTTTTCTTCCTTTTGTAAAGCCCAAAACCTTCTCCTAGTCAGCTGTGGAAAGTCTCAAACCTCAGGGATTATGCCACCATGGGGGGGCTGATGTTGTGAATTGTGTGTATTTGTCTGTTCTCCTTTTTACTGAGCTTAACATCCTCACTTCAGAAAGAAATACTTATCTGTTTGATTCACAAACCTGAGTTCCTTTTCTTCTACTTGCTATGGCTAAAGGATCAAATATAATCATCGGGTATCGGATGCACATTTTCCTTGGGTATAATTAAGTTGTCCACTCAGGGTCGATACTGGTGTCTCTGGTTTATTTCATTAGTCTCTTAGTCTAACATTAAGCTTTTACATTATGTGGTTGCTTCCATTTTGTGCCTCACTTGTTTCCCCGGCATAACAGTTCACCTTAGTTTTTATTGTTTACATTTTTATCCTTATCTCTTGCTTTTTCAACCCCATTCTCTTGGGTATTTCCTAAACTCTTTACCCTCCTCGCCCCTTGTCCAATCAGAGCCCTCAGCAGCACCTGAGGGTGTGTCCTGCGAGAGTGCCAGCTCCAGCTCGCTGAGAGTTAGTTGGAGGCCGCCTCCAATGGAGGGTCACAATGGCGAGTTGGCAGGTTATGAGCTGAGATACCAGAGGGTTTCTGGGGCAGGAGGCGGAGTTCAGGGCCTGGAGGGGAAGGGGCTTCCTATCCCCGCCCTGCAGGGGGAGACATTGCTAGAGGGGCTGGAGAAATGGAGCTGGTACAACATCTCCATGGCAGCCTTCACTGCAGAGGGGACTGGACCCAAAAGCCTCTCTGTGATCTGCAGAACTAATGAGGACGGTAAGAGTGAGAGCCATAGATCAGACCTAAACAGTATTGAATGTGTAGTTGATTATTTACTGGCTCGACTGTTGGTCACTTAATTAATTCTGTATTTGTGTGTGCTTAGTTCCTGGTGCAGCCCCTCGTCAGGTGGACCTCCAGCCGCTCAACTCCTCAGCGATCAGAGCCACTTGGAGGTCTGTGTTGCCACGGTTACGGCAAGGCCAAATCCGTGGCTACCAAGTTCATTTCGGCCGTGCTGATAGCGGTGAATCACGAAACCTTCCCCGCATTAAAGACCTCTTATTGGACGAGTCCCAGGTGAAGTCATAACTGAATTAATTACATATTTTTAATTTGTTATATAATTTAACATTCTCCCTCACACCTTTTTGTTTTCTGTCCTTTGACTCACTCCCTCTCTCATCCATCTTGGCTGCCTGCTGGGTGTGTCTCATCTGTTGGATAAGATGGAGGAGGATGACTCGACTCAATATGTGAGTGCAGACAACCCATCCGCTCTTTATTATGAATGAATGCACTATTATAGCGCAAAGCATCCAATACATTACACAGAGACAATTTGACCACTGGAGATTTGTTTAGCCAATGCATAAGTGTAAAGAAAGTGAAGCAAGAGGTCTGTGTATTGTCTCATATTAAAAGTAATAAGTTAGCAGTATTGAATAGTTCTGTTATGTTTGTTCCCCCACAGGAGCTCATTTTAGAAAGTCTGAAAGCAGAGACTTTCTACTCCATCTCGGTGGCAGCGTACACCACCAAAGGGGATGGAGCGCACAGCAAAGCCAAGCTGGTGCAGACCCTGGGGATTGGTAAGCATATGCCAAGTATACAGTTCAGTGCAATTGATTGAGTAACGCACTGTACTTAAGATCCTCCATTAAGCTGTACCAGCAGGCAGTAAATAAACAGCTAAATCAATTCGAATTCTTCCACAACATTTTACATGATCTATGTTTTATATATACATTACCATTTGTTGTTGTTGTTGTTTGCAGTGCCCGGCCCCCCCTCCCTTTGGGTGCATCCAGGATCTGGTCCGTCAGTGGTGGTGCGGTGGGCTCCTCCAGTGGAATGCTCTGATAGCCGGGGGGCTCCGCTGGAAATCAGGGGTTACCGCCTGCAGTTTGGCCTAAAGAATACTTCCTTAGACACCACAGTGAATTTCACAAATCGCGAGAGAAACTTCACTATCAGAAACCTCTCCCAGGGGTCCTCCTACGTCTTTCTTCTCTCTGCTAAGAGCCGAGCAGGATACGGAGACGTGGTGCAGCAGGAGATAAAAGTTCCCATGTTCCCACCCTTGGGATACCCAAAAATAACTGACTTTGTTAATGACACTTGCTGCTCCCTCCAGTTCTCCTGGTTGCCCCTTTCCCAGGAAGAGTGCAATGGTGACATCACAGAGTACACCTTATCGTACAGAGAAGCCACGGCCCCCAAACCCTCTGCCGACCCCGGCCCGTCAGCAGTACCAGCCCCTACTGCGCCCCCTTGGCTGATCACGCTGCCAGCGAGTGAATCCCGCTACACCATCCTGGGCCTCAATCACAGCACAGCCTACGTGGTGCAGCTAAGAGCCCACAACAAGGCGGGGCCAGGCCCCTTCAGCCCACCTCTGGTGAGCCGAACCCTGGCCTTTGAAACAGGTAGGGCTGGCCTCAGGCCGCAGGAACACCCCTTCCTCTTCTAAGCACTGGTTCAGCTTCACATCTCCGCTCCCTTTACTGTGGATTTCACTACAAACCACTAAACTAAATGAAGTCTGGGCCAGTTCTTACAGGTTGGCCATTCACCTGTGAACCTCGGAGAGGCCGAGAACTGCAAAGTCCAGGGGAACACGACTACTCCCCCCAATCTCCTCCACTCACTCACTTATACCTTCATCACCTACCCTTCACCACCAGTGGACGCAGGCTGAATGTTAATGGATGTTTGCTTCAAGAGCACTGCTTATCACAAACCCTCAGGTAAAAGTCAATGCAGGACTTGATACACAGCTTCTTTTTTGGAAGGTAAGTGTTCAGTCTGAATTCAGGGGGGAAACTGGTCTGGTGCTGTATCTGCAGGTAAGCTTCTTTTTTATCTGATAGACCTCCACTTCCACCTTTTCCAAAGACTTTGCTGACATGCTGAATCTGAGTCTAACAAACACAACCTTACACTCTGAGAATGTGGCATGTCACATTACTCGGTCTGAATGTTATTTCTACTTTAACTCTTACCATCCACTCTCCTCATCACCTGCCCATTCTCCTTACCATCATGCATACTTCTCCCAGTAACACATCTAACTTACATTTACATTTTTACAGGTTTGCAGTAGGAAAGCAGCGGGGGGGATGCTGGTTTAAATAAAATGCTTCATCATGTGTGACACCGTTTTTCTTGGTTCTCCTTCCTTCCCCAGATGTGCCGAGGAATTTTTCTGTCAATCTGGCCACTAAGACCAGTGTTTTGCTGACCTGGGAGTTTCCAGAGAGCAGCAACCCCTATCGCTTTACGGTATGTCGATGGCGTGTGCATGTACCTGTGTGGTGCCGTATGTCTAAGATTATGTTTTAATAAATTATAAATACCCTAATATTTTTGGATACTTTCGGTTAAAATACCTCACAATATTATAGGTTTGAACAATACCTTGAACTTGAACAATACCCGCAACTGTGGAAGTGTTTTTTTACCACCTGTTGTTTTACCTGTGGGGGGCTGGCTTTATGCAGAATTTAAGAACAATGAAAAGTAACATTGAAATAAACATGTATTATACTAAAATATGACAACCAGTACCTGCAAAACTCACACTTTAACACATTAAATTCCAGTCTTTATGCTTAGCCAAGCCTAGACATGTGAGGTATTATTTTCTCATCCAACTCCAAGATATTCTAATAATCATATCTCCCAAAAATGTCAATCATGGTTAAGGAGGGGGAATTTGACAGTGCAAAATTGTTTTACATCCTTAAGACTTTAAAATTGAAATTGAAAATAGGTTAATTTCCAGGATAAACTGATACAAATGTACAGTCTATAAACATACAGTACATTATACAAACAGGCATATTTGCCCTTACCCATTGTTCTCACCTTCTCCCTTCCTCCAGGTGGAGTATAACAGACAGAAGATGGAGGTGGACGCTCGTCTGAAAAAGGCTGTCATCCCAAACCTTCAGCCTGACACGAGCTACGACTTTAAGATCACAGCTCCAGAGGGAAACATGGGCGGCCTTCGCCATCGCATCTCCGCCAAGACTTCCCCACCAATTAATATCCGCCGCCCTGAAATTGACCACACCCGTGACACCGAGACCACCGTCACCATAATCCTGCCGTCGCTGGAGAATCGCTCCCCCGTCAAGTAAGATAGAGTTAAAGATGTTGGTATAAAAAAGTAGGCCTTCCTAGACTTGCTGCACTCAGGTCAGATGATATCTAAATTTGTGGGGCATGATGATAACACGACATAACCTATCCGACAAGATGTTGAAAATACAGTCTTTATAGTCAAGACATCGTGAAAGTAGTTAGACATGTTTCCTTTTGTACCAGTGCACCTGGTGTTATGTTGTTTTTCCTCCTCTGCACCCGCAGGAACGTGTATGTTGTCGTGGTTCCACTGAGGAGAGCCCGCGGCGTCATCAGACACCTCAAGAGTCCAGATGAAATGGACCTAGAGGAGGTGAGAACCACAACAATGACAGCACCCTCTGATGTATATTCCTGGTAGAAGGAAAATACCCATAAACACACACACACAATAAGATTTGATGAGGATTCTGGCAGCAATTACCCTTTCTGATTCCATATCAGTGTTTAAACATTAGTCATTGGTATTTGAACGTCTAATTTTTCCTGTTTGTGTCTTCCCCTCTCTCTGTTTCTCCTCTCGCCATCTCTCAGCTGTTAAAAGACATCAGTCAAAAGCAGAAAGATTCTCGGCAGCAGAAGCAGGTGGACCTGCGGCGGGCTTACATAACGGCCCGTTTCACACCTGCCACGCTGCCGGCCTTCTTCACCCTGGGGGACCAGCTGGACTACGGGGGCTTTGAGAACCGAGCTCTGGAGGCGGGGCAGGAGTACGTCTTCTTCATCCTGGCCGAGCTCAACTCCACAACGGGGGTACGAGAGCCACCGTGTCACTTCTCCTTTGCTTCTGCGTTTATAGCCACTCCCTCATTCCTTGCTGCCTGTGTTTTTCTGCTGCAGGCTGTCACTATACATTCTAATCAATACGGCCTCGCTGCTAAAACAATAAAATGCACGTCAGTCAAAGTGTTGTAAGCAAAAGGCAATAACCTTCACGTACTTCCATCACCTCTGCTAATAAAGAGTGAGTGTACCTACTGTGGCAGTGGAAGAGATATTGCCTTGTGCACTGCACTGGACCGTATATATGTGCATTTGAATTTAAAACAATTGTAAATGTATGACTTGAATTAGGATAGATTTTATTTTTTATTAGATGTGTTTTATTATTAAGACTTAGCCTAGGGGAGGCTCTTCAAAAGTCCTTTAGAACTAATAAAAATGCACTTTATTCAGTTTATTGCAGTTATATATACTGTGAGTAAGATCAGGTGGATCCTTTTTTGTGTCGTTTAAAATGCAGAGACAGCGAATATTATCTCACATGCGCATTAAAACCAGTCATGCAGCAGCCTGGTCACAATGACAGGAATGTGCTCTCAATCTAATGCAATCTAGTGCAATGGCTCATTACTGAGGTACAGGGTTACGCTTTGTAAAGACTTGGAGAAAGAGCTATGGCACTGATGCTTTTCAAGGCTATTGTGTGTTTAGTTTTTGTAATTATAATTGTGTTGTGCCATGCACTCATGTTCGTTTTTCCAATGAGATAAAAAAAAAGAAACACTTTTCCAGTTTCTTGTTTTTCTGATTATATGCCTGTGTGTTTGTTTACAGAAAATGTACGTGGCGAGTCCCTACACAGACCCTGTGATTGCCCCAGATTCAGACCCCCAGCCCCTCGATGCAGGCGACGGTCTGATCTGGGTGGTTGGACCCGTGCTGGCTGTGGTCTTCATCATCTGCATTGTCATTGCTATCCTCCTTTACAAAAAGTGAGTGGGAAGTGATTCTCCCCGAGCCCATATTTACCCTGAATGTAATAATACTTTCAAGGGTAAAAAGAGAAATAAGTTCTATCAGGCTTCGACTTAACAGACAATGTGTTTTTTGTACTGTAAGACCAATTCATTCTTAGTTGTCTGTTGGGAGTATTTTTTACAATAACTAAAACACATTTCATATTTCAGCCTTTTCTTTTAAGATTCATTACCTTTCTATCTTCCATGCTTTGGGCTCACATTCTGTAAGCAACTCCTGCTGATATCCGGGATTGTTTAATGTTTGACTATCCTCCCACAAATGCTCAACTCTTAGCCGTATATTTATGATATTACAATTACGAAGTTTGTTCTCCCTACGAAACAGTCTGACCCTGCTTTAGTCCTTAGATATCTGCTGCATGCCATCAAGCGTTTTGAATACTAATGGAAAATATTGATTTTCCTCTCTAACAATCTGTCTGTTTCCTTCCTTTTCTCCCCCTAATTATTCTTTCCCTTGCTCCTGTTTCACTGGAAGCAGCAAACCTGACAGGTAAGATTAAACCAATGTCAAGCTCTTTGTTCATTTTAACCCACAGCAATTACATGATACCAGATGCTGTACGGGGAACTTGTACAAAGCTGTGAAACACCATTTTTATTAATGCACTATTTACTCAATCCAAGTAGCCATGCTAATGATGTGTCACAAGTCAGTCTGTTTTTTTCTCCTTGGTTGTTTGTATCTACTAATTGCTCTTTTGACTAAATGCTGTTTGAGCAGCAAGCGGAAGGACTCTGAACCCGGTACCAAGAGACTTTTGGAGAACGAAGATGGAACGAGGATAGCCCATCACCCGACAGACCCCGTGGAGATGAGACGCATCAACTTCCAGACTCCAGGTATGAAACACACACTTCGTAATTGCATACTAAAATATACTTCCGATTGCTCATCAATTGACGATGAAATATTCATGCCACTATTTTTAACTTTGGTAAGATTATGCAGACAAGATTGTGAAGGTGCATCACAACCCACCTGGCAGCTTCCAGTCATTTCTAGAATCAAAATGGCCGCTGCCCAGGTATTGCAGTCAGTGCTTACGGCTGAGTCATAACGGTGTGACAAAATCAGATCATCTCCTCTCGCCCACAGTCCACATGCCAGGCTGCAGTCAGATAACACATCAGAACACACAGATATCTGTCTTATCACTCCCAAGTTAAATGGTCAAAATGATATATCAAAAGGTGAGTTGCTGGTTAACTGTGATAATTCATAAAGGAATTAATTATGTTCTCTCTGGCTCACCAACTTAAACCCTGCTGTGATGTAACTACAGGCATTTGACCGCTGCCCACCTCCTACAGAGCGAGATCTAACTACACAGCTGCTTTGGTCCAGGCATCAGGCGGATGATGCTTTACTTTCTCTCCTTCCTTTAAATTAACAGCATCCAAAAACACATGGCCTGGAGGGATTGTATGAAAGTATTTTCCATATTGTCACAAGTGCAGTTCATAAATAAGTCGTTGTTGAAAAGGTGGCAAGATGTGTCATTGTGAAGAAAGGTTTTACCTTGCAAGCTTTCTCATTTAATCCATAGTTTAAGGTGGAGTTTTTTTTACATGTTCGTGGGAAGCGAAGTAAAACCCACAGAACAAAGCGCTTCAGCTCGTCTCTTCGATCATATGATTGTTTTACTCTCATGTGGCAGAATAACTGAAGCTCCCACTTCTTCTCTCCTGAGATTTGTGAGATGCTCAACAAAGATGAAATTTGTCTCAAACCTAACCAGCTGATGCTATCTGAGGTCGTTTTGGTCGTGACAGGAGCATTTTGTCGTGATAACCTGCTGCAGTGCCATGCTGGCGGAAAAAAATAACTGTTGATACGGCATGAGCCTGTTATTAATAGCTGTAGCAGCAGAATATCTTAAATGCTTTTCATACTGTATCAACATGGATTACAATTCAAGAAACATGGAGAACACATTCTGACTGAGATAGATTGTTTATTGTGTACAAAGCAGTGTTCCTCTTTGATTTGCTGTTGTAACTATTTTCCTTTTGAATGGACAATAGATCGTAAAAGCTCCACTTTTCGCGCTCCAGCTGTGAACAGAAACGGATGTACGAGGCATAGGTTGCTCCCTTTGAGTGTGTATGTGGGTGTACGTTTGTGCAACCCTCCTAATTAGTGTTCTGTGTTTGTTTTCTCTGAATCGTTACTCCTCTGATCACAGAGAAAGCAATTTATCAAAGAAAAACAATTTACAAACAAACAAGACTCGCCTGACTTTGTCCTCGCACATGGATCAAAATTGATTTTCTGCCTCAGCATGTTCCTTAATGATATGTGAAGTTCTCTGATTGTATTATTATCTGCACTTCTTTGCATTTGAGTGATGTTGACCTGCAGTAATTTAGGGTAACTCAGCGTGTGACTGTTGTTGTCACGCAGGAATGATGAGCCACCCCACCATCCCCATCAACGAGCTGGCCGAGCACATTGAGGTGCTGAAAGCCAACGACAACCTGCGCCTCTCCCAGGAGTATGAGGTAAGAATGAATATGTATCCTCATTGTTTAAAGATGTTAAGCCTGTTAAGCCTTCGCTTCATAAAGCATTCTTATTTAACATTTCCATCTATGCGTGCAGATTATATGTTCATGATTTATTCAGGTCTGCAATTTGTTGCTGTAACTTGCCTACATCACAGAATGATCTTTCCATTATCCTCAAGAACACTACTCAATATGCCACTCTCTTAATGTGTATTTGCTGCTGCTTTTTCTTAGTCCATCGACCCTAGTCAGCAGTTCACCTGGGAGCATTCAAACCTGGAGGTCAACAAGCCCAAAAACCGCTACGCTAACGTCATAGCGTACGACCACACCAGAGTCATCCTGGCTCCCCTAGAAGGTGAGGATTAGCTGAAAAATAAGATGTTTAGATATAGACATGTGAGAGTGAGAGTACGGATGTGTTTAAAGGGTTGAAAGCAAAGAGAGATGGGAGAAGGAGAGGGAGAACTGCATGATGGATGAAATGTGAAATTGCAAACAGTGCTCAGGACTGGCTGTGTGCAGTGGCATGAGACTGACAAACAGTGCCAGTGCATTCAAGTGCAGCCAGCACTCCTCCAGAACAAGAAGGGGGGGATGGATTTGATCTTCAGCTCATGAATTTACACAGACAGTGTTGTTTGTTTGTTGTCCTCCGCTAGTCACCTAGCAGCCGTCTGTCGTAAGGCGCGGCTGCCAGATACAAACAAGTTTGTTAGGCTGTTTGATGTCATACACGCAGGTTAATTTATTATGTTGCTTATGCAGATGCAGTTTAGCATCAGAGCCTTACAAGTGTCTCGTCTGCGCAGGTATCCTGGGGAGCGACTACATCAACGCCAACTACATTGATGGCTACAGGAAGCAGAATGCCTACATCGCTACACAGGGGCCACTGGCGGAGACGTTCGGGGACTTTTGGAGGAAGGTGTGGGAGCAGCGGGCCGCCTCTGTGGTCATGATGACACGCCTCGAGGAGAAGTCACGGGTAGGAAGTCCAACCTCCACACACTGACCCCCAATATACATCTTAGATTACCCGTCATTTATAGTTTAGCCTGTTTGCTTTACAAATGTAATTAAACCTCTAAACCCTTTTAAGGCAAGGCAAGTTTATTTATATAGCACCTTTCAACACAAGGCAATTCAAACTGCTTTAAAAAAATGAAAGACATTAAGAGCATTAAGAAACATATTATAAAATGGCATTTCAAAACACTCAATTAAAAGCAAAGGTACATGAATTAAAGTTACAGTGCAGTGTGAGATACACACATCTGAAATGTTTAGGTCTGACTCACAATCATTGCTAACTTTTTAGCAGAAATAGTTTTCTTTGACCTCACTTTCTTTCTACTTTATTTTTAACTTATCCTTTAGTTATTTCAAGTGTTTCATGCTAAACAAACTCCCCTTTCGAAAATGTTAATCTGCAACCCAATATTCAAAAGATTCAACGGATCCTGGCCTTATTTGTGTAGCATATAAAATTAATTTGCTCCCAGACATTCTTGTGGCTTGCTAGTTTTGCACCCCATCTTTAACCCCAATACACGTAAGGGACTTTAACAAATATGTATATATGTTCATTTTATTCATTTCTTATTTTGAAAGTTACTTAACTGTATATCATTTTAATCGTATATCTTTAATTTGATGAATCTTTAATCTTGTGTGAATCTGTGCTGTCCTGTTTTTCAATCTTACCCTGTTGCTGTATAAACCACTGAATTTCCCCACGGGGATTAATAAAGGTCAATTTGTTCTTATCTCAAATGTAGGGAAACAGATTTTTGTAATTCAGTCTGAAACAATAATAGTTATAATGATGATGCTTTTCCATTATCCGTGCAGATAAAGTGTGACCAGTACTGGCCGAGTCGCGGCACAGAGACGTACGGGACGATCCAGGTCACCCTGCTGGACACAATGGAGCTGGCCACATTCTGTGTGCGCACCCTTTCCCTGCACAAGGTAAAATGATTGCCATCTTTTCTTGCTCCCTCTCCATCTGAATCCACCCCTTGACTCACCGCTCTGCCCTTTCCTCTAGTAATTACTGTCATTGAAAACTGCTTTGATGTCTTGAATTGACCGTTCGGAACCTGGAGTAATTACGAATTTCCACTGTCACTGGCCGAGTGACGCGCATGTGAAGATTATTCTGGGTTTCATGGAGTGTTCAAACCAGGCCAGCCTCGCTGTGTCAGACGCTGAGATTTGATCACTGTTGGAAGCAGAGCACTTTCTTATAGCGCAGGACTAATCTAGGACCGGCAGACTAGCCTGTCTCTGTGGCCTACTTACAAATACAGAAACTGGGCCAACTTTCGCTTCCAAGTGTTGCACAGCTTCTCCAAATTTTGTGATGTGTTGTCAAACGTCCAGCTACGAGATCTGTCATAGAGTGGAGAATAACACACATGCGATATTTACTTATCCTAGTATTATTCCTGTCTGTTGTGTATATTTTGCACAATTTAAGAATATATGGGGTCTTCAAACTGCATTATCTAAAACTATTCCTTTAATTTATACAGTGTGTGTGTGTGTAGGAATCATTATGATTGCATTAATTAAAAAGCTTCTTGGATATATTTTTTGTCTATTTTAGTTTAGTATATAAAGGTATGACAGTGAGAGCGCATATTGAAAGTGCAACATTTCTTCTTAGCAAGAAAGGCTTATTTTCATTTCGTCCACAGGCAGGCAATAGTTAAAAGCACAGACGTTAGAAATAAAAGCATAACAAATCAATCAAAAACAGTCCTGGCTTCTATGGTTGACAATAACTACATCATCATAACTGATGGAGATACAGTATATCTGAGAAACTAAACTCAAACCAATTGGAAGTCATTGTAATTTCCCTTCTATTACTGAATACGTTTAATATTAGAACATTCAATAATGCATAAAGTGAAACATCTAACACATGCACATGTTCAGACAAATGTGTTTTCAGTGACTGTAAAGCCACATATTTTTCTTGTCTCTTATTTAAGAGTGGCAGCAGTGAGCGGCGAGAGGTGCGTCAGTTCCAGTTTACATCCTGGCCAGATCACGGTGTGCCGGAGTATCCCACCCCCTTCCTCAACTTTCTCCGCAGGGTCAAAGCCTGCAACCCTCCTGACGCCGGACCTATTATCGCTCACTGCAGGTACAGTACACACACCTAACTTTATCTTAAAGGTCACCTATTATGCAAAATCCACTTTTTCATGTATTTTATACACAAACATGGTCCCCTCTGTGTAAAGAGATACTGAGAGTTTCAGCAAAAAAGATCCGCTCACTTTTTGTCCTCATCCATTCATATAACAACCTGTCAGAAAATGAGCTGATCAGATTTTGGCCACTTTATGATGTCATAACGATTGTTTAGCTTGTGTACAACCATATCTGTTTGGTATGTTGAGCCAAACACTTCAGAGACATGTTTTGTATATATCTGAGACCTATAATTTATTGATGAAAAATTGTATAATAGGGGACCTTTAAATTGATTCATTTTGGTAAATATGCATTTTTTTTAATTAGATGAGAATAAGGATACCACTAAATCTCTGGTATCTTCTCAGCCAAATTTAAGGCAAAACTAAAAAGCTCAATATGTTGAACTATTCCTTTAAATGAAAGTAGGAAACAGAAAAAGCTTCCCTCTTGGTCAACACTTATTCCTCTTCCTCTATCAGTGCCGGCGTTGGTCGCACTGGCTGTTTTATTGTCATCGATGCCATGCTGGAGCGCATTCGACAAGAGCGCACTGTGGACATCTACGGTCACGTGACCCTGATGCGCTCACAGAGGAACTACATGGTGCAGACGGAGGATCAATACAGCTTCATCCATGAGGCCCTGCTGGAGGCCGTGGCCTGTGGGAACACTGAGGTGGCCGCTAGGAGTCTTTACTCCTACATGCAGAAGCTGGCCAAGGTGGAGCCCGGAGAGCACATCACCGGCATGGAGCTGGAGTTCAAGGTAGGGGAGAGGGGTCAAATTACAAGGGTGTGAATATTTGCTGTCTCGCAAATATTACATTTTAAGAGATTGTCTGAAAAGAGGCAAAGAGAAGTGTTTTTTGAGCTACCTAAAACAAAATCATGTCTTCTTATAATCGCCTGTTACAAGTTGCGAGTGGTGAGCAGTTCAAAATGTGGTTTATTTTCCTTTCTGAAATTGTTTAAAGGTATTTATACTTATTGGAGCCTTTGAGATATAAGTCTACCTAAGAGATGACATGAACACAAATTAAAAAATTAAAAAAACTTTTCCAAATAATTTTGTATTCCCCCTAATAGGGAACCTTTCGAAAGCTGTAGTCCTTTCCATAAAATAACTAGGAATATATCTTTGATAATCCTGCATTCTTGCATGTCAAATCAGGTTAGATTTCCTGGAATATATATATATATATATATAAATAATATAGATTAAAACTAAATAAAACATCTTCACACATTTTACATGTTCTCTCTCCGTGCAGCGGCTGGCTAACACCAAAGCCCACACATCCCGGTTCGTCACAGCCAACCTGCCTTGCAACAAATTCAAGAACCGACTGGTCAACATCATGCCCTATGAAACCACCCGCGTCTGCCTCCAGCCAATCAGAGGCCTGGAGGGCTCTGACTACATCAACGCGAGCTACATAGACGGATACAGGTATGTTTTTGTCCAGAGAACATTAATGTGACCTGATCCCCTTGTCCTCCTATGATGGCTGCATGAGTGAATGGACTGGATGTGTTTTCACCGCAATGTTCCCACCTGTCACGTCCTGTCACATCGGTCATTATTGTAAATATGTAATCGCTATTTGTCTTGCTGCACAGCACTTACCTCAGTCACAGGGCTTCTGATGATTCAGGCATTCAGAGCAATTGCACACACATGTTTTGACTGTTCCTTTTCTTGCCTGGAGTTTGACCCCCTTTTCAGTCTGCTGATTGACAGAGGGAGTGTGTGTGTGTGTGTGTGTGTGTGTGTGTGTGTGTGTGTGTGTGTGTGTGTGTGTGTGTGTGTGTGTGTGTGTGTGTGTGTGTGTGTGTGTGTGTGTGTGTGTGTGTGTGTGTGTGTGTGTGTGTGTGTGTGTGTGTGTGTGTGTGTGTGTGCAATTTAGAATATTATAAAAACACTTTAATAACTGTTGCAGCATGTGGTGATTTTATATAATATTTAGTTATAGGATCCCCATTAGTTGTCTATGCCCTAAAGCGCAACTAGTCTTGTGGTGCAGATTTGAAAGCACTCATATACAATTCCAGGCAAAAATGAAACTGATGACTTCCTCAACATAGTTCTGAGCAAAAGCAAATCCCCTTAAACTATGCATTTCATCATACAAATATGATGTTTGAATATGTTTCCTTATTTGTTTCATAAACATTGATTTATTTGTTAATTAAGGTAGTCGCAGTGTGTTTTTATCGCTTTATATACAACTATTTGTTAAAGGAAATACGTTTTTGCCCTGGGTAGTGAAAAACACCTTTCATGTTGCCAATGTCTGATCCTAATTTTTGTTTTAATTGACTGTATTGACACGATTGATTATTGGATAGTTAAACCTGCCATGTAGATAGTATCGGTGCTGCCATCATCCTGTATTTAACATTTAGACAGTTAAGATGGATGTGCATGCGATTGATGTTAGTGCCGTATGAACACTGTAGAGCAAGGTTTGCTGCTTTGTTCTGTTCTCGTTGGAGTTTGGTTAAATCTCTTTTGTGACGTGTGTGTGTGTGTGTGTGTGTGTAGGCAGCAGAGAGGCTACATTGCCACCCAGGGTCCGCTGGCTGAGACTACAGAGGATTTCTGGAGGATGCTGTGGGAACACAATTCCACCATTGTGGTCATGCTCACCAAACTGAGAGAAATGGGCCGGGTAGGGGTAATTACATGCACAGAGACAAAGAGCTAGAAATTACATTAAATGTCAGCCCAGTTCACAATGTCATTAATCGTTTATTTTGTTCTGCTCTCTCAGGAGAAGTGTCACCAGTACTGGCCCGCAGAGCGTTCAGCCCGGTACCAGTACTTCGTGGTGGACCCCATGGCTGAGTACAACATGCCTCAGTACATCCTCCGGGAGTTCAAAGTCACGGATGCCAGGGTGAGTTCATGTTCTGCTGTATTTTGTATCCAAACAGCAAGCGTAACATTACACTCCTTGACTTTTCTGCCCTTTTCCCAATCCATCAGTGCTGTTTGAAGGCAGCGATGCAAAGCATGTCCTATCGACCTGTAGTGTGTGTTGGTTAGTGTGTGTTTTGTATGGGAATGCTTAGGTCTATTGGTAAGTAGCCCCTTAGATTACTCATTCAACCGTGCTGTCTCCAGATCACCTTGACAGCATAGTGTGTGTGTGTGTGTGTGTGTGTGAGTGACTGTGTGTGCACATCCTCTCATGCACATATCAGCCAATCATAGATAACTCCAGTTAGGCCTGTCCTGCACTGACGCCACGTCGACAGATGCTCTATTGATCTCCATTAAAGGGGAGTCAGAAAGGCTGAGCAGAAGAGAAAAGATGTAATTGCCCTCTGAGTGGCTGACAATGGCAGACGTACAGACGTTACAGCTTGGAGTTAACCACAGCCACTGATCCAGGGTCAGATAACAGTAATCGTTAGAAAGGAAGAAAAGGATATTGCATGGCAGCGTCTCACTCCTCCTCAGTCAATAGAAGAAGAATCTCTTTAAATAATCTAAAACGCACAAACACTAACTACATCTTTAAAGGATAAACATCTTGATGCTTTTTGAAGATACATCAGATACACTCTCTTATCAACTCAGGCTAATCGTTCTTCACCCCCTCATCACCTCACTTATTCAGGACGGCCAATCACGGACAGTGCGTCAGTTCCAGTTCACCGACTGGCCAGAGCAAGGCGTGCCCAAATCCGGAGAGGGCTTCATCGATTTTATTGGCCAAGTGCACAAAACCAAGGAGCAGTTTGGCCAGGATGGACCAATCAGCGTTCACTGCAGGTAAGCAGCATGACATCTCAGCGACTAATGATGAAACCATTCAATGTTAATTAAAAGTACATGTAATTGCATAATAACGGCAGTAGGTGTAGCACATTAAGCTCAGACACTTTGTTAACCATAGTCATGTTTCCCTTTATGGCTGCAGTGCTGGCGTGGGGCGGACCGGTGTCTTCATCACTCTGAGTATCGTCCTGGAGAGGATGCGTTACGAAGGGGCAGTGGACATCTTCCAGACCGTCAAAATGCTGCGCACACAGAGACCGGCCATGGTGCAGACTGAGGTAAACACTGACACGATGTGGGGCTGAGTGATTCATAAAGCAGGGCAGAGACAAGTAAAGCACTCTATAACACACCATTGGTCATGATTAAAGCAATATTTTAATCAATCCGGTTATATTTTTACTGTTTAATTATTTATATATTATTTATTTATATATTAATCAAACCTCAACCTGTCTTACACTCTGATTTTCCTTTTTTAATGATGATGCTATTCCGTTAAACATACTTTTCTGTCAAGCAAGTGTATTAATCATTAATTAATTATTATGAAAAAATATAAAATATTTGCACCTCCCATCATGGCTGTAGAAAAAGTCATTATACCACCTAAAAAAAACATCTATATTCGTCCATATGTATGAGGCTATTTTATTTACAACTGCATGCTAATATTAAAGGTCCCATGTCATGCTTTTCTGGTTATTACCCGTCCCCTTGTGTGTTATGTAGCTTTTTATGCATGTAAACGGTCTGCAGAGTCACAAACACAGGAGCTCCAACAAGTCGTTGGACAGAGAGTGAATACACATACTGTACAGAGATGCTGTATGAGAAACCAATGTGAGTTTGGAAAATTGCCCAATATAAATCTATCCTAGTAGACCTCAACAATGGAATTATGATCAGTAGAAATGGCCATGACATGGGACCTTTAAAACATAAAATATGTGCTTATTTAGATTTTTCCAAGAGTTTTGATCATTAGGAAAATAATTTGTTGCTGATTTGTAGCTGCAAATACAAACTTTTACGCTCTATGTGAAAACCACATATCATGTAGGTATGTGACTGTGGCCTTTTTCCCATAAACGAATGGGTTTCTAGTGTTTTGTTTATCTCAAATATGAGAACTTTCTCAAAAGGGACACTTAATCCTTCAGTTCATCTGAAAAATTAGAAATCACCAGACTGAGAGATTAGGATATATAAGACACTCAGCAATCCCAACCTACAGTAAAGCCAGGATTTGAGTTAAGCCTCTGTTGCATACCATCGTCATGATTCTAGCAAAAACATTAGACTGGAGAGGTGTTGTGAGCCTGTGTCTGTTCCTGTTCAGAGCAATGATTTCTCCCTCTGTGTGATCCTCTGTTTGTCACCCAGGATGAGTATCAGTTCTGCTACCAGGCTGCTCTGGAGTACCTGGGTAGCTTCGACCACTATGCAACGTAAATAAAGAGACAACCCCCCATCCATCTGTCTGCTTCGAGGTCCACCAACAAACTGACGAGTGAAACGAGAGAAAGACAGCCTGAAATAACGTGAACATTGAACCTTTTCCTGGGAGCAAGACTTAAAGATGAATTATACACCAACAAGGACAACAAAAGATAACAACAAAAACAGCAACAATAAATCTGTGTCTAACAGCACCCACACTGCTGGTGGGTGTGGAGACTATCCATGTGTAATCCATATACTTACCTCAGTGTTCCAGTGTGAAGGACGTATAATACATGTGTGTTGTGGTCAGCTATCTCCAATATGAACCAGTGAAATACAAACAGCTTCTGAACAGGAATTATGATAGTATATGTGTATAAAAAAAAGGAAAAAAACACAAAGAGCCTGGATATTTGCTGCACCCTATATGGGCTTTTTATCCTCAACTTTGTATCTATTGGTTTAGTGTACTAAGGGGTTACAAAGTGCAAAGGTGAACATTTTTAAGTGTCCGTGAGTCTATTTCAAAGGTGTCTAAGGTTGCCACAGTAGCTCTGATCATAGTTTAGAGCACATGACTCAACACCCAGAGGACTGTTGGAGAAGCATGTGGATGCTCATTTACCCAAAGCACAGTGCCAAGAGAAACCATGCAGCGTGAACGTGAGCCGTGGCCTACAAGGAGAGATGACTTCCTCTTTTATCCAGCATAACATAAAGTCAGACCAGAGACCGCTCTTACTAACACTGGCCAAGGATCAGTTAATGCTCGTCTCCAATGGTGTCCTCGCTGAGCAACAGCCCGGCATCCGAACAGTGATTAGAGCCTGTCATATCCTCCACTGGGCTGAGGTCTGTAGTCCAGTGCATTATTCGTCAAACAAAGTTTGCTTGCTATTTGCTGTGGTCCTTGTTCATCCTCCAGCTCATATCCACTTGAAGTCAGCCCCATTGTGTCAGCTCAGCAGTGGCTCATTGAGAAGGATGCTAATGAAAGCTTCAATCCTGCTAAAACAGTTCTCATCCCATCTCTGCTGACATGATTTTTGTGTGTTTTTACTGTACGTCTCTGCCTTACGCTGACTTATTTCTTGTGTTCATGCTGCTCAATGTTCATGCGTTGTGTTCTTAACATTTATTGTCATACAGTATCTAAAATTGAGGATGAAAGTTATTTCCCAATCATCTTCATCCTCTAAAGCTTACCTACTTGAATTGCACGACTTCGCAGTTACATCAATCTTGTGCAGTGAAAGATAATGACAGAAATCCAAAAAAAACATTCAGCGATTTTTTGCTCACTTTCAACAGTCCTCTCCCCTCACCTACCTTCATATAAACTTCATTCAAATTCTCTCTGTTTCTAAATCACATTGTACAGAACATCCCAACTTAACCAAATGATGTTTCCCCCCGTCTGCTCCAGTAGAAATGCACAATTCTGTGATATCGATATATATCTTTTCTTGATTTGACATATAATCATAATTGGTCCCATGTGGTGATTTAAGAGCACAGCGATGTCCGGTGAATCAGACATTTCGGTTTCACAGATTTTGTACATACAGTCTATCATTGGAGTCCTATAACAGTACAGTTACATACGTCTGAGCACAAGATATAACGTGGGATTGGATGTGATGTAGTTCTTATTGTCGCAAAAAAAGCCTTATTGTTATTGTTCACTTTGTCATATTTATTTCATATGATTTTTTAAGATATTTATTATTCTATTTTGTTACTTTTTATGTTCGTTTTTAATCTATTTATTTGCGATATCTACCAACTATAACCGATAAGATGTTGTATACCTGTTTCTTTGGCGAGCCAATGTTAAAGTATGATATTGTCACTGTTTGTTTTTTTATTTTCGATGGTCAGTTTTGGTGCTTTTTTATTTGCTTTATAATGATAAAGTATGCCCTCTGTGTAGGGTGCTATTTGATACTGATTACTGATGTCCAACTAGTTAGCTAGAGATGTGCATTAGAGGAGACCTAGTTTAAGTTTACAGTGATGCCCTTTTGATGCCCCCCCACTCTCCACCTCCATAGCAACAGCAGCGGTGTGATTGATCCCCGCAACAGAGGTATGGTCCGCCCCTCCGTGATACGTTTAAGGGCATCAGAGAATTACATATAGAGAGCAGATTTGTTGACTAAAACCTCGGACAAGCTGTTGGTATTAAGATTCCTGGAAAGCACATAGTAGCAGGTGTATTTTTGACAGAGAATGGGCCAGCTAAATGCACCCTCTAAAGTTATTGTTTATATCTGAAATTATTCTGATATGAAATTGTGTGGTCCAGAAGTCTTGACAGTGTGTGACATATGAAATATGTTATTCCTTCGATTTCTAATGATGATTGTGTCAAGAGAAATATAAAGGCACTCACATGAAACATAATATGACGTGTGTTGAGGGCCAGCTTTGATGACTCACCCCCTCACTTATGTACCTGTTCTTTCCTTTCAAACCATGGATGTAGATATTGTATCTTGACTTTGTATTAAAAGCAGGATGATTGGATATAGCGCACAATGAGCTGTTTGATTTTTGTGTTACTTTCCTTTTTTTTTTCCTTCATTGCCCACTAGATGGGACCAAAGTTACTTTAAACTGAAATGCACTAGTGTCACTGAACGCAGCTTTAACTAAATGCATTATAAACAATTACACACAAAAGTGTTTTGAAATTAAATACTTATGCCTTTCTTTTAAGCAAGTATTAAGAAAGTTGATTGCTGGTTTGGAGGTACACAAAGAGATGGCATTAATTTCTTCTGTAACTCCATTTGTAGTTATAGTTGTACTATACATAGCATAGTAATACATGAACAAGGCAAAATAATGAAGTGTTCATGTCATATAGGAAGAACAGTAGGGACAGTAAATATGTTAAAGAATACTGAGACTGTAAGGATTTAAATAATGTAATGAAATTACAATGTAAATACAAAATACAGCCCCGAAAAGACACATTACACAAATATTTAATAACTTCCCTGGTCTCCTACTGATTATAATACAACACTTGTTGAAAATAGTTTTTTGTTTTTTTTAATGAAAACTAGCACAAGGACTGTATGCAGCTGCAAGCATTCACTCTTTCTCTAAGGCCACGTTTACACGGAGATGAAAACGAACCTTAGTCGATATCAAAAAAGTCTTCCGTCCACACGTAATCGGCTCAAGAAACGTGTCCGTCCACACGAGACAACACAGTCTCACTCCCTGAACGTCCAGGAGCGACGCTTGGTCAAGGTCCTGTGGCGTGCAGTTATGACGCGCCGAAGCTCCTTCAGCTTCATAAACAGACGCAAAGAGCTTTCAACTGATTGCAATGTATTCCCATCGGCGGCGGTATTTGACGCTCATGGAAGCACCGCATCGGTCCATGTCGGCGGCACTTAAAGGCAATGTGAGCGTCCATTCCCATTGGATAACGAAGGATTTTACACCCGGAAGTAAATATTAACCTTACTGTCGATTGATTTGACAGTGATATCTGCAATACTCATCAACTCAAAAACACCAGATTATCCTTGTTAATTACACAACATTGATTGGTTTAAATTGTGTACAATGCTTTTGTATTTTTCCCCTTCGATTCGGAGAAACAAATATTTTTTCGGAGTTTAGGATGGCCGAAGACACTACACTACCCAGAATCCTCAGCTATCGTTCCGCTTTGCTCGGCAAACCCCCGAAAACACTGTTCCACACATTTAAAAACACTTAAACACTTAAACAATGTTTACCCAGGATTCAGGCACCTTCCCTGGCTTGTAAAATGTGATGATGCACCCTGGAGGTATCAGACTATTTAAAACATCTATACCCAGGATTCAATCACTCTTTCTGGTTTGTAAAGTGCTGTGAAGCGCCGGCTGTTGAATTGAAACAGTTTAATGCACTTTTAACACTCATGTACCCAGGATTCGAGCTCCTTTCCTCGGTAATAAAGTGAGATGAAGCAGCCTGTCCTCTGGGC